AACATTATGCTAAGTGAAAGAAGCTAGTCACAAAAGACTACAGATTTATATGATTCCATTGATATGAAATGTCCTAAATAGGCAAAGATAGAGAGATTTAAGTAGATTAATGGTTGCTTAGGGCTGGGAGCAAGCGGGAATACAAGGGATTAAGAAGTGACAGCTAAAGGACATGGGGTTTGTTTGTTTTAGGTGATGAAAATGTTCTAAAATTGATTGCAGTGATGGTTGCACAGCTCTGTGAATATATTAAAAACCACTGAATTGAACACTTTAATGTGAGAATTGTACATATTTGAAGTATATCTTAATAAAGCTGTTTTATATCTTAATAAAGCTGTAGCCCCCACAAAAAAAAGCACTATTCCTGGAAGAGAGAGAGAGAGAAAAGAGACAGACAGGCTTCTCCCTTTTGTCTGCAGGGGCTGGCATGTAAGGACGTCATGTCTGGGGGAGCTGCCGCTGTGTGTTGACTGTGTGGAGTGCCGGCTGCAGATGAAAAGCAGAAAGATGGAACAATTCCAGACACTTGGTCATGTTGTTGAGGACAGAACTGGCCAACTCTGGAGCTATGCTACCTCTGGGCTTTAGTGTGTGAGATACTGTATCTCCTTTTTCCAGGTCATTCTGAGTTGGGTTTTGTATTACAGGCTGGTGAATCATCCTACCTGTTGCAGACCCCAACTCACCTTTCCTGCTATCACCCCTCCTCCCATCCTTCCACTGCTTTGCTTTTGCCACACGAAACAACATGCTTTTCCTAAAATACATCTGTCCTCTCAGATTGCTCATTCTGATTTTGGCCATGTGCTTCTCTTAATTTTCCATTTTATTCCTTCTGCTCCTTTGAGGACAACCACAATGGTGGTGTGGAATATTTTTTAAATGCTTCCAGTCAGAATTGATTTCTTCCCTGAAGCTCCAGAGCAGGTTGCATGCATCTCTTCTTGATGCATGTGTCATCACAGCCTCCATAAGAACTTATGTCCTGTCATCTGTCTGACTGCTCTGCACACTCCAGGGAAGCTGCTCACACAGACAGAATGGCCCCACGGGCCCTGCAAGAGAAGCTTGTTTACATATACTGAGACCTAGTCTTGGGTCACTCTAGCAGGAACAAAAGGTATTTATTCTCAGGGAATTGATTAAACAGGCAGCAAAGAA